CTTTGAAACTCCTTATGGCCTTCAAGATCAAGCACGTAGAAACTCAGTTTGGATATGATTAATTTGCAGTCACACTGCAGAAGAGGCAGATTCAACCTCTTCGAAAGTCTTCTTAGAGCACAAGATATATCTCGTATAGCAGTGGTGGAATTGCACTTTAGTGTTTGGCGGAGCTCAAGGAGCAGGAAAAATGCTGTTTTGGAGCAGCTTTGATGCAACAGAAGGGGAGTTTTCAAGCAGCTTTGGTGCAGCAAAAAGTGTGTTTTGAAGCAAAGCGAGTTGGTTTTGAAGCAGCTTTTAAGGGTCAAACATCATGGTATCAAAATTCAGTACTAAAGAGCATACCAGACTTGCCACTCATAATGTGTGTGAGTGTGTTCCCAACACTAAACATCACAGCTGACAGAAAAATAACTCTGAGAACAAAAGGGATAAGCAACACTTATCTCTTTGTTTGCATGACCGCTATTCTCTGTTTCACACATTAGATGCATTGCTAAGGATGCTATGAAAAAAAACTGGTCAAGAACCTTTATCACTCCACGCGTATCGTAGCCAGTTTTTGTTGTTGTAAACACTCGCGTGAGCCGAGCAGGTGCCTCTGCATAACGTGTCGCCATGGGCTGTAAAACAAAACACCAAAGAAGGAAAACAACAAAACACTAAGCGATCCATGCCGTGTTATTACAACCGTGCAACGGGGTTTGTTTATCTAAGATATAAACATGCTCATTTAATACGCAGCCTTAAACATAAAAAAAAACATACATTCTCGGTGATAAAAACATGAAACTATACCTTTATGCAAATGCATCTACTGAAAGAAGTCTCGCTAGCCTCCGCAGCGCTGCGCCTTATGCGTGAAACAGAGTACTATTCGCAATGCCAATATACAGCGTCGCACCGCCAAGCGGAATTTAGGAGCATCCTCTCTCTCAAGGATGGTCAGTAGGCAGCAGTGTTGCGAAATGGGCACCTCCATTCTATTCAAATTCCATTTCGGGGAATTGGCACTTGCAATAATTTCACTCTTTTCAATTCCTCAGATTGATAAAACTAAGCCCATTTCCACTATGAGAATGGCCAGGCATGTCACTGCCATTCCTACAATTTCTCAACGTAGAAAAGGCATATCTTGATAGCTTTATCGAGCTAAGAATAACTGTAACAATATAAAGATGATGTCATCATATATATAAGAACTGAAAAACTATGCTAAACACGTTATCATGGTCGAGGAACAGTGGCTTGGTGACTTATTTCGTGCAGTACAACCAGACTGCTAGTTCTCATAGGGCAGTTCTCCCGCTGTCTATAGTATTCACAAGGTCAGCACAATCTTAGGAAAAGAAGTTAGTAAATAGTTGGCAACGAATGCACTTGTTTCAAGAGTATTTTATACCCCTGTTACACGGCAAATATAATGTCCTTTACAGCAAATGTCATTTTTTTGTATTGTCATTCATTTGCTGTCACAAAGGAAAACTAATGCCATTCGACGAAAATGACATTTTCTGCTGAATGAGTTCCCAAAACACATTCATTTGCTGTCACAAGGGAAAACTAATGCCATTCGACGAAAATGACATTTTCTGCTGAATGAGTTCCCAAAACACATTCGCATTCGATTTCGGACCGAATGAGTAGTGTCTAAGCCAGGGACTAAGGAGATGACTGCTAACTTTTGAATATGTAACATTTAACATTTGTAAATATCTTGTTCTTAACTCAATCAACTTATTACTAGTTTGATGACATGATAGCATGCACGAAAGTTTAAAAAAAAGCTTCTCTCAACTACAGCAGCTGGATGCTGATCATGTTCGATTTTTGCTCTGTTGTCCTTGCCTGTATCGCAGATGTTGAGTGTTCGACTGTACATGTTGTGGTGACCTAAGTGGTAACTACACAAAATCGCTACCACCGTCTCATTTCTACAGTTGGGAAGTCAGTCGTGCGCCTCGTTTTAGCTGATTGTACTAGCACCCAGTCCCGCATATCGTCGGCCATGTTGATTTTTTAAGTGTGTCGTGCAGCTGTGGCAAGTTGTGTAAAAAGGCCACATTTATATTCTAGAAGCACCTTTTTACCCATTCAAATTATTTTTTTGGATACATGTATGTTGCATAATTTTTAGTGTATTTTTATTTCTCCCAAAATCTAAGGCTCAGGAGGACTAAGGTCATGGGCATCATTTCAAAATGACATTTATTTTCATCCTGTGACAGCCCGCAGGTAAAATGACATGAGATCCGCTTAATGTCTTCAGTTGTAATTGGCATTAGATTTGTCGTGTGACAGGGTATTACTCCTTCGCAGCTAGTAAAGCTTGAAACCGTTACTAACCAGGAAGGTTTTCTTGGTCTTTTTCACTAGATAACTACTAAGCCACATACCAGATCTCTCTTAAACACTACCGTAGATCTTGCAGTAATCAAGAAACTCTTAAGAAAAATTTAAACCAATCCTAATTCTGTTGATTACTTTAGAATAAAAATTTCGTGCCAAGTGATGACACACATATACTGAAGGGCAGATACTGTGTACAAAACGTACATTATCTTTATAAATTCTGTGGCTGCTAACCAGTACACAGTGTGCTCAATTATTTTTATAAATTCTATGGCTGCTAACCAGTACTCCGTGTGCAATTCCAAAATAGGAGCATAGATAGCCTTCAAAGGGCTACCAGCTAAGTCTTGATATTCTATGCACGCGTTTGAGTGTGTGTGCTTGTCTGTGATTCGTTCATGCCTCTATGTATGTTGCTGCGATACGTTCATATTTAGTTAGTGAATAAGCTGGCCTGTTTTCTAAGAGTGCATGTTTAAACAAATTATGTTCTAATAATATTGTTTAAGCTTAAAAGCGTTAATGCTAAAATGACGACTTAGCAAATCGTCGTGTGAAGATTCGGGAAGGCACCGCCTTCATTGCGTGGGATCGCCTGGTTTGGCTGGCTACCCGTACCAATGCTTTCAAAAGATTACTCTATCTCTCTCTGTACAATTCATCTTGTACAACAGTTCATCACACACAGTTCATCGTGTATGAATGTGTGCTGCGCTAACCTACAGACCTTTGCGGTTGAGTTTCAGGCAAAGGCACCCATGCGTATAGGCAGGGGGGACAGTATTGAAAAAAAAAAGGGGGGGGGGGGGGGGGGGGGGATAATATGCAGCGAGACTGCGTGCAAGCTCATAAACGGCTTGCAGTAAACACAAGCATTGCACCAGCGTCAATACACACCACAACTTAAACAAGCACTTTTTCGAACATGCGTCAGAGTCACCGATGGTAGACAGCAAGATAGCAGGTGGCTGAGGCACCACCGAGGAGCGAAAAATCACAAGGTGTAAAGTGGGTACTCTGCCATTGTATAGTTCCGCAACACGGATACCATGGCATAGAGCCGTGGTTAAGCAAAGAATACAGAAAAACTTTGGAGCAAAACAGCCTACATAAGGAGAGAATCATAGTTATTGCGTTGTTTATAAATGTATCATGCTAGTAGTCAGCCAAGCCTTCTTAAATTACTGCCACTTGCCGTAATTTCATTATTTTTTTCCTCGAAATGAATGTTTTAATATTCAATGAAAGCTTAAAAACAGGACATCAATGAAAATATGCTCGATTTTCGGAAAAAGATGAAATTTTATTCCCATTCCATTCCATGGAAAATGTGCTTATTTCCATTCCCATTCCATCCCTCCGAGCTTTGTCGCCACTCCATTCCTAATCCATTCCGAGGTCGCAAAAAAGTGAAATAATTCTGTATTGATTCCAATTCCAGAGTGGCAACTTAACACTGGTAGGCAGCCGTTCCCTCGTTCAGCTATGCCAGCCTCAGTATTAACGCGTTAGCAAGAAACGAACACTAACAACTCTGCATGTACAACTCTGCATGTTTCCTGCAGCAGTGAACAAACTAGACCGTTCGTGAGAATGAAGAATTAATTCTAATGAGACGTAAAGTTTTCGTGAAAATACGCGGCAACTCGCATCTTCAATGATAGCCCACAGATTACATATATCAGCCACGCAGGTTAGTTAAATTCTATCGTCTGACCTTTGAAGTTGAAACTCGCCTTGTTTTACGTGCGTATAACATTCATCAGTGCTTTTGTAGTGCATGAATTCCATAACATTGTATGCGTTAAAGGGACACTAAAGTCAACTATCAAGTCGAAGTGGATTGTTGAAATGGCTGTCCAGAAACCTCGTTGTGTTACTTTTGTGCCAAGGAAGAACCTATTTTGAAATAAAATCATGTTTTAGTGCTCCGCATCGAGTTCGTACACTTCAAATTACCCGCCTCAAAAAGCAGACCGATCGGACCGACTCACATCAATGTTGCCATACACAACGTTGCCCAGCTTAACTATGCTAGTAGCAGCAGACCGAAAGCAGCGAAGCCACAGCAGGAACAATGACCATTTATCAATTTCTCACTATTGGCTCTGAGATTGCAGACGTCTTAATTCAACTGTGCCCCACTAGATGGCACCACCTGTTGAGTGTATCTACGCGAAAATTGAATTTTTGAACCACTCGCGCCATTCCCCATAGTAATGTCCGGCGGTTCTTTTTGCCATGAATCAAGCATAAACGAACAAGCAGCATTTTATTGCATCTCTTGATGCACTGAAGGTTTTTTATTTAGTGCATTTAGATCGATTACTAGTGATTAATTGTAGGCGGTCTCTTTTATATCATCGGGATCATTTTGAATATGTCCTACTGCGGCGCTTGTGTTCTTGTGCATTTACCTTAATTTCTCGGTAAGCAGGGAGCTGTTGTTGATAATATTGTAATTTTAGATGTTGCCATACATTGAGCAAAAACCAGCTTCTCGCGTGCTCTATACAGACGTGGCACGGCAGTACATTCTTTAATAACTCCAACAAACGGCTTTCATAAAAAAATATGTAACTGGCAGTATTTACATGCAGTGAAATGTGCACAAGCACTGAAATTAAAAATATAAGTGAGAGACTTACCAAAAATTCATCTCTGATGAAGTACTTTGCTCGAATGACTTCTGGGTCTTCTCCTGTCTCAATAACAGCTGGAACAAGAGAAAAGAGGTTAATTTAGGCCACCATAAAGATCTTTATGATTTGAAGTTTTACAATAATAAATCAGGTCTAGGCTTCAAGCCCTACACACAAAGCCAGTATCAACCAATATACATTCTGTATATTTGTCAGTCTCAGTATCCATGAATCACAATTAAGATACAAAATGCAATAAAGGGCCCACAATAGTAAAACCAATGAATTTCTTCAAATGCTCAGTACAAAGGCACTTAATTTTCACAAGCCTGCTACCCATAGACTTCGAAAATGCTTGCAGCTTCAGTGAGAATGAAGCACTTTAGAAATAAGTCATCTGTCAGCTGCTTGGGAATGATAGGCAGCAACTAAAATCTGAATGAGACACCCTTTCCTGCCAGCTTTAAATGCCCAAAAGTCCACTGATTGATTGATATGCGGGGTTTAATGCCTCAAAGCCACCATGAGTATGAGAGACGCCGTAGTGGAGGGCTCTGGAAATTTCGACCCCCTGGGGTTCTTTAATGTGCACCCAAATCTCAGTACACCCCAAAAGTCCACTGGAGCAGAAACTTAAACACGAATACACAGTCATTTCCATGGGTTACTTTTTTCTATTTGAGACAATGTTAGTAAGCAGGCTAGTGCCGATTTCCCAATTCCTTCATATTGGGTAAGAATTTTACATCCTTTAAAGGGACACTAAAAGCAGAACTATTTTTCACGTATTCACCAAGTACAATTTCACAATCTCGAAAACACCCATCTTACCACCACACAGCGCTTCGCAAGAGAGAAAACGCACGAAAAAAATATGCTGGTGGGAACGCCACCTTGAGATTCCCGCACTAAACACCATGACGTCATAAATTTCGAAGGTGTCTACTGGATGCTATGTAGCTTCTAATCAATGAAATTGAAGTACACTGTTATCTGTGAGTGCCACAAACCTAGCATACGAAGTTAAGAAAATTTCATCAGGCTAATGTCATGAAAGTATGAAAAATAGATTTCAAAATTTTTTTTACATCCCACACGCAATTAAAACAAAAACTTCAACCTTGATTTTCTCCCCTAATGATGAACTTATGATAGTGAAACATATGGCATTACAGTTTTCAGTGCAATCTGGCAATCTAAACCAAGTCATTTTTTTTTTAGTGTTCCTAATATACAGAAGCTGGGCAAAGATGGAAATGACTATTTTTGTTATGCCACAGCAAGAACTAAGCTTACTAGTATAAAAGTACAGGTACTATAAAAGTAAAACAGCATGTGAGATGCGGCCAAGCTACACGCAAATGCTTGTCAGCACCCTCATCAAAGAATTGGTTTGTTATTTATTATGTACGAAAATGATGACACTATCTTCTTAAAAGTGAAATTTAGTGTTTTGGAGCAGCTCAGGGAGCAAGAATAATGCTGTTTTGGAGCATGTTCCGAGCACCATAAGGTGTGTTTTGAAGCAACACGAGTTAGTATTACAGCGGCCTTCTATGATCAAACATCATTGTCAAAGTTATTTTTGGTTAAAAAATGTTTAGTGGTTTTCACTAAGCATTTAGTACTGATGAGCTTACCATACTTACTACCCACAAATGTGTGTGCGTGTGTGTTTCCATCATTAGACATCACAGCTGACAGTGAAATAACTCGGAGAAAACAAGAGATAATAAATACTCGTCTCTTGTTTTCATAATCACTACATAATCACGGCACACTTCTCTTGGTGGAAGTCTGTTATCCTCACGCTAATTAAACACACTACTCTGCTCATGTGTGTTCGGTCTGGAGAAGATTGTGGACAAGCAATTTATACGGCAAATTAGCGCGCACCATACAGCGTTCCGCTAGGCAATGGTGGCACAACGGCCATTGGCGCCGCGTCGCATGGAACTAACCAGGAGATGATCAAGTCCACATGACCGCTCCGTATTCGTATCAAACTGTTCGTTGTCGCTTAGTATCAGATTGCGATAGAGAAGTGCATACATGTATCGAGGAAAGCCGATAGTGTCCGTGCTGTCACTGTCACAGTCGCTGCGTATCCCAGACTCTAATAGTTTTGAAATGCTCATTGGTGTCGTCACTGCGCACTGTGAAAAAGTCGCGAGTGTGTGCCAGCCAAGCATCTTTCCTATACTTTGCCAAAATGGAAGAAGTAACTTTCTGGTGGGCACTTCGGGTAACACCCGTTATGGTACTGTATTCGATTATTGGTGGCTATGGCGCATGTCAGGAGAAAAGAGTTTGTACTTGCAAACGCACACTGCCCTTTCGTGCATGATCATGCCGCGTTTGCAGCTGGTACAAATTGTCGAGGTTTCCCCATATTACTATACAACTGACAGTTACTTGTGTTGGTACCAACACTTTTTCAAGGAAACCACGGTGTTAACAGCAACGAGATGTGCGCTAGCAAGCCCCTTGAATGAACAGAAACAAAAGATGATGAAACCATTAAACTAGACTGAATATGGATGCGACCGCGTCCTTCGTGTAGCCAACGCTCAATGTTGCTCGTTCAACAATAATCGACTAGCTTTGGCAATTTACACTTGCGATCAACAAGTATCGCGAAAATTGCCGTTTATGCGGAGTCTGGCACAGCATGTCAGATTGGCGCAGGATGGCACAATTGGCACCGCACTTCCACCCCTGCGTATTTAAACAAAAAACCACTTCTCTGATAAGATGTGCTGGCATGCAGTTTTGCACAGCTTGGCCACAGCTCGCATGCTCAGTTTTACTTTTGGGGCACCTGTCCCTGAAATTTGCAGACTGTTGCAAACCATAAAGGTACCCAATAGTTTGCGGACTGTGCGATTGCTTTTATAGCCCAAGAAATTATATGCAAAGTTGACATCCATGCGTGAATGCATGCAAAACAATCGGGTCGTTACTGAAAAGAGTACAACCAAAAAAATTTGAATGTAATCCTTACTTCCACGACTATTCCAAAACTGCTGACCCAGTACATTAACTAAGGAGTCTCAATACATTAAAGGTGAGACATACATCTTTTAGCAGGATGAAGTCAAAATGTGCAACAAGCACAGAATGGATGCAGATGCAATAACTGTTTTAAGTCACTGATCGCCTGATGTGACAGCCCCTTAGTTTAAGACCAATGATGCATACAACGCTATACTATATGCAGTGAAATACAATGCCTACTCAGCCCATAGTAAGGCAAGTGAAGAGAGCTGGCTGTTCTACATTCCCATGATAAGCACACACTAAGATACGCAATTCCAACTAGAGCACTCATCTATCCTATCGCTATGAATAACTTTTTTTTGTCATGTCTAAAGCTGTATTGCATCTGGCACACATTTGATTCATACGGAAATTAAATTATGGAGTTTCCAGCTATTTCACAGGCTAAGAAAAAAAAAAAGAGTTGAAAATTTTCATTTTGCAATCCCCTGTATATGCTCATTTATAAAGTACACACAATTGCCAAATCATTAATAAGTGCACTAGGGGACACCGAAACAGTTTTGACGATTGTATTGTGAATGATTGAATTGTGAATGATAGCAAAAAGGGTGTGCTTTGTCTTGGCAATTTGCAAAATAAGCTGAAGAGCAAAAGCATGGCTTGGGAGGAAAGTAACCTTCAGCTGCCCACAACTCATTTGATACAAAGTGTTCTGCTAAAAAGAGAATTGAAACAAGACATTAAAAACAAGATTGTTTGCAACATTGATTTGTGTGCATACACATACACACATCACATCCAAATAACAATTATTAATTATTGGGGTTCAATATCTCAAAACCACCATATCACTATGAGAGACGCCATAGTGGAGCACTCCGGAAATTTCAACCAACAAGGGTTCTTCAACGTGCACCTAAATGTAAGCACACGAGCCTCAAGCATTTTTGCCTACATCCAAGTGGCCAGTGCAGCTGGTATTTGATGCTACGACCTGCAAGCCAGCAGTTGAGTGTCTTAGCCACTAGACCACAATGGCTGGTTCACATCACATTTAAGATGTAAATAATAGAGCCTAGCAAACCTTTTCAGCTAATTTTGAAGTGTTTGCTACAAAAATGAGAATGAAGCACAACACCTTGCCACATGCACACTAAATTGAAGAACAAATGAAATGAGCAAGCACCGACCAAAATGAGAAGACTTAAAATGGCATTTTGGTTCCCGTACAACTAAAGTGAAAAAGTTTATAGTACTACAAAATCACTTTTTGGCAACATACAGCAGCCAAAACATGAATTTTTAATGTTCTAATCGTTTTCATATTGGTTGGTGTCCATTCTTTTCGTTTGTCCTTCATGCTTCTTCCCAACTAGATGATGCTTCGTCAAGCCATCGACTATACAATAATTTGGCTTTAATGTAAACAACAAATAACCACCTATGTCACGAATTTATTTATTTATTTATTCACGTTGCCTTACAGGTTCCCATAGGGACATTGAGTAAGGAGGGTGAGAAAAGAAAACACAAATTATAAAAGAAGCAACAGCATACAAAACATTACAATGTGATAATATAACATAACTTATTGAGGAAGTGCATGCAAAAACAATGTAGTTACATTGGTGGTGTCTAATACAAAGTTGAATAAATGGCAGGTACTCAAAATAAATGGTGCCAAAACATGAGCACGAGGAACAAAGTTGGAACACATTTGCAGATATGTACAGGTATACAGAGCTACATTTTTATGGAAAGTCATGCCGGTATACTTGGTTGCGGAATAGTGTATGGTCAGTGATTGAAACTATTGTGTTAGGAAGATCATTCCATAGTGTTACGGCTGTGGGCAGAGCTGATAAGTTAAATGCTTGGGTGCGGCCATAAATGCGTTTGAAACTTCACTGTTTGTTTAGTCGATTTGACATGCGCACGGGAGTTTCTAGGGGAAGGGGGAATAGATAAGGGCAGTTTACATATTTGTGAAGTAAGCAAACGATTGCAACAGTGCCATGTTTTGTTGCCGATTGTTTGCTGCCATGTTTCTTGCAGACTGCAAGAAACATGG